ATATTTTTTGCTATAAACAATTGATTGATGGTATTGAATGTATAGTACGTGTGAAGTAAAAAAACCTTCAATTAACTTAAAATTGAAAAACCTGAATACATAAATTTTATCTTACTCCTTTTCTGAAACCAGAAGAAACTCACTGTGCTACCCAAGGGGGGGGGGGGGAGCAAGTTACTTTTTTTCATTTTTTTTGGAATCTTTACTTTAAAAAAAATTTTATTATTTTTATCCTACACAAATGTGGTGAATGACACACTGTATCCACCAAAGTGGAAAGAATAGAGCCAAAAAAAATGTTGCCTTGAGATTCATTATAGAAGAGTTAATTTTCAAAAAAAACCCTGCGATCGTTTGAAGTATATTCAATATATATTTTAAATCAAAGAGAAGCAGACTAAAGAAGAAGGAGAGGGGAGCTCTGTTTTACCAATGGAGGACTTAGGCAATCTTCTTTTAGCCATGAATTTGGTAAACACTACTTTCACAAGTATTAGTGCCAGAGATGAATTAATGTTCAGGCCAAACTATCATGCTTAGGAATCATGTTGAAGGCACCCACAAGACATTTAGCAAATTTTATTTTAGTTCATAATATGAAAAGCATTTTTAAAAAATTTAAATAAGAAGCCGTCAACTCTTGCAATAACAAGACGAACACCAATTCACCCAAAGTTGAATATTTTTAACTTCACGAATGCAGGGACACTTGCTGTAGCTGATATGAGTTACCATGTCTCCCCAAGACCTTCAATCTAAATAGCGAAAGATATAGTTTTCTTAGACTGTTGAAACAATATTACTCAGTGCCCCAGTTTGTTCATTCAGACTCCTTAAGAAATTAAGAAGTCTTAATGATTAAGATATTAATCTGCTTGAATGCTGACTGGAATATGACCAAGTTTATTGACTACTATGCCGTCTCAGTAGCATATTATGGCGCCATGGAATGGGTCTGGAATTCACATGAGATGCGTCCATTACGGTTATTTTCCATTTTCCAATCTACGTGTGACAGTCAGCCCTCACTTCCCGTCTGAAGAAATGAATACAACAAACCTGCCGACTGATTCCGACCCTCGAAACTCGCGGATTATTAAAAAGTCCTACAGTCTAACCAAGTCCGTCTATATTTTCTTCTTGCATGCTAGTGAAGTTCTTGCAAAATAATATTACAAAAGTGTTTTTATAACCAGAACATAAAGACACCGGTTACATTTTGTTTATCGAGCATGGTATGAAAGACGTCACATCCAAGGGCCACATAAGTAGATGACGGTCCCAAACGAACAAAACATCTCCCTTAAGGATTCTCACTACAACCGTCCGGGATTACGCTTATCTCTATCTCCTATTCTGGCGGCGGGCGCGGCGCGTCGTCTTACCGACGTAAAAAACCATCTGCAAACATTGTAACCTCAGAGAATGCGTCATATTAACGAAATGAAACTTACTGAATGTTAGAGTTATAGCACAGAGATGATGGACTCTAAATTCCATTATTTAAAATTTTGTAAACTTCACTCTAATTAAATCTGCGCAATTAAATAAATTCTACATCTCTACTGATTTAAAGGAAATTACTTCACCAATATTAGAGTTAGTAGTCGTTAACACAGATTATACCATCTTATTTAAACTAAAAATGTAGACAATATTTCTTTCTTTTCTAAGCCTCGCAGAATTTTGTGGTGAATTAAATGAGAAAGTGAATCATTATAGATATCACTTTTGAAATCTATTAGCCTACGCTTGCATGATGATGAGATATGATATGATCTGAATGATGGAATGATGAGGATAATGATAACCCAAACCAACAACAATAATAATAATAATAATAATAATAATAAAATAATAAAATAATATAATGTAACCAAAAAGGTACGAAAACGTCCTTACAATACAGGCTCTGGCATTGTCAGCAAAATTTATGTAAAAACGTGGCCAAACGCTTACAGTCATTCAATACATCAGGAAGGCTAGACATTGCTTTATTGGATACAGCCTCCACTTTATTGCGCAAATTATTCTTAGAGCACCGACAATCCGCTCCTTAGGAAGCCCGTTTGCAAAACGCGGAGTAGATTTTATAATCAACCAACTCATAACATCCTATCGTGAATTAGAGAATAATAAAAAGTAACAATATATCAAATCTTAATTGCAATGAAAATAAGTGCAATTCACGAGAAAAACTATTTATCCTTTAAAACAAATTCTTCAGAGTGGAAGAAAATGGAAAACCCAGTACCAACGGTTACAAAATCTTTAGTACCAGACCACGCCTTCATTTCTTATTTCAACAGGCAAGTTACGGGAATGGAAATTGCTCTGAAAATCCAATAATAATCGGTTATACAAAACTTATAAAAACTGTAATATCTTACGGTATCCATGACCATTGGCCCTGATGAAAAACGAAAAATCGTCAGATTGAAGTTTATGTAATCGAGGCCCTTGACAACTATACTATATATTTATTTATACAAACCTTTAGGGGCACAAACTACCGAGCCATTAACGCCAAGCTGAAAGATTCTCACGATTAGAAAATGAAGTGAAAGAGAAATGAGTAGGAAAACGAGGATCCAGAGATACTTGCCGGAAACCGTCTTGTCTCATTAAATCCTCATGAGCCGACTTAGAAATAAACCCATAGCCTAAACAAAGTCTTCGTGCGTGGCAATCGAGACTATCCGCCTCATACATCTTTTATGTTGCAAAATAGAAATACATACAGACCGCCGTAACAGTACGCATCTTCATTGAAATGAATAATGCCTTATTATTTGGCGAAGACTCAGCCATGAGGCTGCTCTTCGTCTGACCACGCAAATATTCCTACCGCTCCTTCACCAACTACAACAAAAGAAGTCGAGAAAACAGACTATTATGCTCAAGAGCGTCATTTAGGCTTGAGGATCGTTTACATGCAATAAATTCTTACTGAACATGGGGCACCGCTTCACCTTCCCCTCCGAAGATTTTTTCGTTACTTAAAAATCCACGCTTCGACGTTTGAGCGCCAACTGATGGCATATAACAGCTCCAAACGAACATAAACAGATACACCATCCTGCTGTTCATTCCAAGTAGATCGGATAAGTCCATTAATTACTGCGCTGGTCAACTACTTAATATAACTAATTTACAACACCGCGACCCAGAAACTGGAAGAAAACATATGCTGCCATCCCGGCCATGTGAAAACAATTCTGGTATGAGGGGAAAGTGTTTTACTGTATTATCCGTATATACTATACTGTTATTGCAGGATTCCGTTAAGAATATTTTTATTAAAATATTTAATTGTTGCCAGTGTTATACGAGTGTTTATGTGAAGTAAATAGTGCGTTTTTTTTCATACATTTTGTTGTCGTAGTTCCCAAGCATTTTGCTGATTCAGCCATTATATGAATGTATTTCAGTTTATCATCTCAGCGAAATGTTTTCAGACGATATTTTAAAACTAATTTTTGCTAACTTTAACAATAGGAAATTGACTCCTAACCAACTGAAATGTTAGTGTGAAATAAAAAAACTTCCATTTTTAATATCAATTAAAAAAGTATAAATAAAACTATATATTTTTTGATATTACAATTACAGAAACAAGCCACATAAACAGTATATTCGAATCATTTTTATCTGTCAAGAATAATACATTGCATATTCCACAGTTAGTGGATAGTACACGAAGTCGAATTAATTAAAAAATATATTAAGCTAGAGTATTAGTAGCACCTTAGGTAGCTCTGTTCAAAGAAAGACACCCGTAACCATAAATATCAGTAGAAATTTTTTCGTAAGGTCCGAAACCAGATGAGAAATTAATGCTATTTACTGAGATTATACCGCAAAAAACTAGATCCGAATAAAATCCGACTAATAAAACAAAAATTGTCATTCTAGTGCTCATTTCTTTACATCTATTGAATACATGTTCCGGATTCCTGCGACTCCTATTAGCAGTGAAGCACCCATTCTCCAGAAATCGCCGTAATTCCAACCAACGGATCGCGGCACACCCGATTTACAAAAACTACAAACTCTTCATACTCCCCAGCTATACTAAGCAAGTCGAAAAAAACCGTCAGGGCCGCCCGCAGCAAACAAAAAATTATCGCAACCGCGAGAAAGTGAAAAACAAATACCCAAAAAGATAAGAAAAAAAAGGTTGCGCTTCGGAAATAACCCCCCAGCACAAGCAAGCGCGCGCCCGCGTCTCATCCGCAGCGCTTTACTCATTTCCGCGAGACGATCGCCCGCCTCGCCAATGCACCGCGCCCTTTCATAAAAGAGCAGCGGGCCGCGCCTGAGAAACCCGATCGGGAGACGATGCGCGACAACCGGCCAGTCGTGCGGCTTGCCGGGTTGCTGGTGCTGGCACGCGCGCCATCACCAGCAAGGCTGGAATCCAAGTCCTCGCCCCGAACGAGGACATCAGGCAGGGGCTCAGCAAGTGCAGCCAAGCAATGGCCCGCAACACACGCAGCATCCTGCACAGTGTCCAGTGAGCAAACCCAGGGAACCTGCGCAGTGGCCGGCCAGCAAACACAGGCCCAGCGCAGTGGCATGGACAAAGAAACTTCAGGTCCCGCAACAGTGGGGGGGACCCGAGCATCAAACTCAGGGTCCCGCACAGTGGCCGAGCATCAAACCCAGCCTCCCGCCACCAGTGCACCGAGCATCAAAACCACTATCCCGCACAGTGGCCGATGTATCAAACCCAGGCCACAACAGTGGCCCGACAGGCAAACCCAGGTCCGCCACAGTGGCCCGGACAACAAAAACTCAGGTTCACAGGCACAGTGGGCCCGGACACAAACCCAGTATCCCCACATGCCCCACAGCAAACCCAGTGGTCCCGCAAACAGAAGGCCCGGACAACAAACTCAGGTCCAGCACAGTGCCCGGACCAAGCAAACCCAGTATCCGCACCCAGTGCCGCACAGCAAAACTCAGAGCCCGCGCACAGTTTGCCGGAACAATTCATCCGGTCAAACAAGAACAGGAGATGGAATTAACTCGAGCAAATGGCCAAAAGGGCCCTCGAAACACGAACTGGAACAAAGCCTCCCAAAATGGGTTTTCGAGGACGCCGGACCAGCAAGAAAAGGAGGCGCAGATCCAGCACGAAAAAGAACAATGTTCCAAGGCGTCACGCCAAACGCAAGAGCCTCTGGACGTGGAGACGGCGACCCAGCAAGCAACGCCCGCGCGACGCGAAACATCCCGTCTGCTACGTCCCTCCCCGACTCACGCGCAAGCGCCCCACCGACCTGAACCGTTACTCACCGACAACAGCTAGTGTGCGGTGACTGTGCTGGTGGACACAGACCCCGATCCCTGCAGCACACGCAGAAGCAAGATGCATCGACGATGGCACTCCTGCAGGAAACCATCGACCTTCATCACGTTCAACGACACACGTGAGTTACAAACCCTTGCGGGGATTCTCCTACAATAAAATAGAAATAAAATAAAATATGTAACTCGAAGAAAGCGAATCTGAATGAATAATTAATAAAGTTAGGGTGCCACGGAAATAAAGGTAAGGTTGTAAAAGATTATTTCAGGATTCTTTTTAATGTTATAATATCGGTACTGAATACTTAATATAATTGCGTATTTAAATATTTAAGATAGATTACACAATTACTTGTTTAACAAACCCAAATTTATCATTTATTCATTTTTTTAATTTAAAAATAAAGCAAATAGCGAAATATTTTACGAAGCTTCTTATTCCTCGGGCCTTTTGTATTAAAATTCAAACTATAGACAATTTAGGGAAAAACGCCTGATTTACTTTCTGTGGTTGCTTGAAATCTTGGCACTGTCAAAATTCCTCAAACGACAAAAAAATTGAGGTAATTCCTAACTCAAATGAGTTTAAACTTTATATTAAAGAAATTTAGATAAATAACTTTAACCTCACTCGCTTCAAATCTAGACATAAATCTCTTAGGTCCTCGCTGAATTTCCGCCTCGCTACTTTACATTAAATTTGAGCAAATTATTTCCAAAATTTTCACGGATTCCAATAACTTCGCCGTCGCCAACAAAATTCCAGAGCAACTGAAATAAAAAAGATAGGCAGATGCCAAGTCAAGTTTGACTGGTATCTAAAATCTGTAGCAAACACCAATAATCTCAATTATTTTGTATAAACCAAAAATGCTATATAAACACTTACCAAAACAACTACCATCCAAAGAAATGACACGAGTTAATTATTCTTTCAAAAAACTATGCAAAAACCTATTTGTTAAATTTCTCCTATAATGTTAACAAAATTATATTTAATTAATAATCAAGAATACACACTATTAATGAATTAACAAATTATGTCATTACTATTCGCCTTAAGGATATGGGTAAAACGAGAATTAGTTAAGAAAATTTGTTAGAACAAGGTGGATGACACCATTAGATTTTGAGAAGCTTCTACAAGCTTCGGTTGTTGATACAAACATGTAGCCATTACTCGAAATGCACCATCCACTCCCACAAGAAACTGCCTAGTGTTTACCAATCATGAGAAACAAAAAAAACCAAAAAAACAAAAAAAAATGTTTACGCAACAAAAATCAAATATATGAATATTTCATGTTAAGCTCCATAAATTGAAGAAAAAAGCCAAATTGCCATCCGCCAGGGGTTTCGCAGTTCGGTAAGCCTCCTACAACTTTCCATGCAAAAGGCGCTGACAAAAACTCTTAGTTAAGTGGCAATTGCCCTACAACAGATTCATTACACATAGCTACTGAGGCCGAAAACAAAAACAACTAAAACAGGCGTCTACCAAACCACATCTGTCCCAAGGCACAAGAAGAGAGCGCTCGCTAATTACTACTCGCAAACTGCACTGTCAATCAGGGAGTACTGCGCTTAAAGTTTCGTCATTTTTTCTAACCTCGCCTCCACGAGCTCAGTGACAAAACATCCTACGGCATTATCATAGTAAAAACGTGATTTTGAATAGTTTAAAAAGGCCCCAGTAAAGAAAAAATCCCTCGATAGAAATATTCTCGCCAGTGACGCACCGGCAACCCTTGGAAACGCTGCTGCCTCAGTAAAAGCAGCGTCACTTCTTGCTTATGGCATTTTCGCCATGTCTCCGACGAATAGTAATGTGTCAATGTCTGAGCCAATGTTAATTGAGTGCAAAACCACACCACTCAGATTCCTTTGCAATTGACATACTAAGACGGTACATGTTTTAATCAAGTTCTATAATGTTCTGTACAAGTTCTATTTAATTTGGCATTTGAGTTTCATACTAATCATACGAAACCAAAATCATGTAGCTTAATAAGTTCAGTAGCTCTCTCAGGCAAATCCATTCGAGAAAACCAATTCTAAAACAGACTTTTTAACTACACTGCAGGCAATATTTGTAGTAAATATTTATGGCATATTAATATTAAGTTTAGTTAGAATATTCATTATGCAAGATATTCGAATATACTATTTGTAAAAAACTTTCAAACATTCTCATAATTTCCACAGAAATGTGATGAACCAATACCCAAATGCACACCAAAACATCTATTTTATATTTTATTTTCAGCTTGAACTTCTAATAGTTGAAATACCAGAACCTTAAAGTTGTCAATGCTAATTGCATGAGATGCCTACAAATTTTCAACACAAACTACCAAAAGAAAAAATCCCTAATTAGATAAATAACCTCACATGAACCATTGCAATTCACAGCCGCCAGCTCTTCTTTAAGCGACGCCACCTAAAAAGCCTACAAAAATGCCATGGCTGAGCGTTTTTATTTTGTATAAGCCAAATTTACGAAATCATAACTTCCACGTACGATTCTGATAATAAAAACTGTGCACTGCACTTTCAAACTTCAAACTCCCAGTTTGAAACAGGATCAACAATGAAACAATAACTCATGTACTTGAATGCTCCTTTTTACCAGCATTACCAATAATTTTAAGATTATTACGATTATGATTTCAACACATTCAATTCTAGAGTAATTCTACCGCCTACGATTTTGAAATCATATATATCAAAGCTCTAAAGACGCAGTCCTTAAAGCGAAGCAAACAAGAAATTAGGTTTCGAAAGCAAATTCTTTCCAAGGACCTTCCGCGAATTTCTTCCATACTATCATTTGCCTCGCACATGACAGCCACCTGCAATACAGTACCGCGTCGCGAGCGGTCCAGTGTGATGTCACGGATGCCGCGATTCCCGCCCGCGAAGCGTCTACCCGCTCCTGCCGACGCTCGACAACGAGCCTCTCTTCCCGACAAGCATCGATCTCGCGCACGCGGGGCGGCAGCGGGAAATAGAGATGCGCGGTGAATAGGGCGCGCGCGACGTGGCGCTCCGCGTGCCCAGTGTGGTCGCCGATTTATCCGCATGTCAACGAGTGGACACTTCCGGCTAAAAGGCATCCGACAGCCGTCCCGCGCCGTTCCAAGTTCGCCTGCCTCCCCACGCGCAGCTTCGGAGCGGCTCGAACGGGAGCGCGGACGGGCGGACGTGCGGGTCGGACAGCTGCGGGCGACGAACGGGCGGACGGGCGGGACGGCGCGACGGGGCGGGACAGCGCGGGCGGACGCGACAGCGGCGGGACGGGGCGACAGGCGGGCGAACGGCGGACGCGGACGGGCCGGGATCGTGGCGGACGCGGACGGGCGGACGGCTGATTGAGAGGAGAGTTCGCGGCTTAAGTACATAAGTAAAGCAGAGGTGGAACGACGGATGGAAGCCGCATAGGACACACACGCATGTTGCGAGGATGGCAATGAGCGGTGCGAAGTCGGAACAGCTACGCAAAAAACAACAAGCGAGAAAGCAAGAAGACGTCGGAGGGAAATGTCGCAGGGTGAGGGCGGAAGCACGACTCCGCAGAGGCGCGCATGATGAGCAGCATTCCCGCCTGAAGGGTGGGGAAGATGATAGCGAAAAAGGGCGGGGAGTTGACGACGCGCTAACTCAGCTGTTCCCTGCTGGCAACGAGCAGCTAAATAGCTAGTGTTCTAATTCGTCCCACGTGGCGCGTACTATACTAGTCCACTTCTAAGGGGCTACGACGCTTTCATCTGTTCTCAGTACCTATTCGCCATCCTGTCATATAACGTACTTTCAAACCTTACGTTAATAAAGCCCGAATAATTATTACAGGCACACATTAAATACAAGCTTCAAACAATATAAAAAACAAAAACTATGGCTAATTTCGGACAATACACTGGTAAAAAATATATCGCATATTAATATGTAATTCTGTGCCAAATATCACACCGCCCCTTACATGAGTAGAGTTAAAGATGAAACTACTCGCCATCTTGTCCGAGAGACTCTATATAATTATTATACATTAATTAGAATGTATAGAGAAACATTAGAACACAAAATACCAAATATCTGTTTATTCCTTAGCATCTACTTCATTCCCGTGCTCGTCGCTTGTCCTCGTCCCAACTCAAGACATTCGTTACATTTCCCAGGGTTCGTTGACGTTGCAACTCATTTGTTGACAGGCACGATCGCCACAATTCTGACCGCGGGATGCCTGCGCCCAATGTGTCATATATATCTCTCTCATCTCCTGTAAAAATTCCGCATTGGACAACAATACATCTCATCCTGACATATCCTTCTAGACCATCTCTATCTCTATATCTCTATATATTTCCCCATAAACCCAATATATAAGTTTCCACCACACGGTTTCCGGTTTCGAATTGTGCACTATGCCGTAATGGACCAGACCAAGCATCGGAATAATAACAGTGACTACGACCCGGATTCGGAAAGAATTACGTGAATTGTATGAAGCACCACTATCATAAAATTCATTTACCACCATTACTAGATTACTATCATGAGTTATTCATATAGATACCACATATTAGAAGACGTATAATAAATATATGACATTTTCTATCTGCGAGAGATCTCAGGGTAGCCTCAAACCACCTAATTGAGCGCTTTACACTATCCCTTAATTCCATCAAACAGATCTCGTAATTTCTACATATCCTATATAACTCTGAAGTGTTAATGATTGTCTAAAATAAAATTCGACATTCTCATTGTATATGAATCTTCTCGTATCAGTATTTTAACTGTCACATGACCTCTGACATCGCGAGCTGTAAAGGAATGCTGAGCTCCTTCTGAATCAGTATTTGTAATTGATGACACCGAACAATCTAGCACAATGCTCTGGAGCGATGTAATAACAATTCGTTTCTCGAAAAACAAAATTTTTTCTTTTTTGTGAGCGATCGACATCACGTACGGCTCACTCGTATTGAAGCGACTGTATAATCCCGCAAAGACCCGCTGACTAGTTCCATACAAACATCTTTCTTGCCCTAGAAGCACCCCTCCCTT